AAGTGTGTGCATGCAGTTGTGTATAATTTACATTCCTTTAACTATTCAGTTGATCCTTGTTGCCCAAATTTGTGCATTACAATAAAAAGTGCGAAGTTAATTTATAGTGGATTCTTCTTACTGATGTCAATTGAACCCTTGTAAAATTTGCTGATAGACATTTCATTAAAGGCACAGCCTTAAAGGCACAGCCACAAGGAGAAGTCCAAATATAGGAGAAATAGCTATCTGTGGCTGCTTGCCTTGACTTAATGGGAGACACCTAATTCTACATCACATATAAAAAGAAGTAGTCATAGCTACTGTAAGTGCTATTCATACTGTATATTCCACAATAAAGAGACAGGAGTGGCTCACCTCCTCTTTCAGTGACACTGCCCTTATCTTTCTTTTTCTTCTTCTTTTTCTCCTTCTTCTTCTCCTTCTCTCCATCCTGGCAGACAGGGAGAGAGTAAGAGGCGATGGCACTGGGAAGGTCAGGGGACTGTGTTTCTCTAAGGAATATTGAACAGAAGCTCTGGCTGCCAAGGAATGGACTGCACACGACCTGGTCGCAGGAATGTGGCTTTTCAACATCCGAGAAACTGACCTAACAGGACCTGGAGTTCGTGTCAGCTGCCGAACACTAACCCTGTATCTAAAGGCTTGGATTTCTTGTTGAGGTGTGGCAGAAATTGCATGCTCTTCGAATTTCACATTTGTTGGCAAACGTAAAAGCCAATGCGAGCATTTACTCCAATTTAACGAATTACCTCTCTGTCACAGTTCTCTCATCTGATTGGCCCCATGCAATGCAAGGAGACCTTAACAGTTTCACCAGCTGATCAGTCGATCCAGTTAACACATGAAAGTGGTGAGATCAGAAGTCACCAAATCGTGTGAGAATTTGAGGAATTGTACACAGAATTTGGCACAGAAGCTTGCAAGAGCACTGTTGGGGGGGGGGGTGGAAAAACATGCTCAAGGTGTTTGTGCTTCTGGGAAAGACGTGTCAGGGAAAACTGCAGGCCAAATACCTCTTCGTCATCCTCGCTGTCAGAGGAAGAGGAGGTGGATGCCTGTAAAAGAGCAAATGACAGCAGGTTAATTTTCTTCACAGAATTCCCTATGTACGGCCACCGCCACTAGAAATCCGCTGCTGACGTCACCGAACGCCAGTATCTATTTGTGTCATATCATATCTGTGTATATTTGATAAAGGAGTTCCATTCCAGGAGCACCACCCCTACTGCTGAAGATAAAGTAAAAAATGTCGGTATCAGAAATGACGTTCTCAGTTCTATTTTACAAAGTAGTCCTGCAGGCTGTTGGAGCTGTGATTTTACTTTCTGGGTGGGGTCTTTGGTGTGATAGAAGAGATATCCACCACATGTCTCTAGGTCCCTTGTAAGGGTGTCTCTCAGAACTGCAGCTCATGCCCTGACATTTGGTAAAAATTTGGTAAAACTACTATATATAGAGGTCTGTTTTAGATGCATCATCCTATCAGATTACAATAAGCAATGAAATGGTCCGTATCCTAATGTACAGTGACACAACACCAAGCACAAAGAGGAACAGGCACAAACACACTAGAATTTGACTTTGAGCACCTTGCAGAACCTGTGACAGCCATGAAGAAGGCTGATACACTATAGGTACGGATATATTGCAAAGGACCTGGTTGTTCACGCTGCATTTGGAGACTGGTGTGCTAATTTGGCAGAGCGCCATAGGTTTTCATCAGCAGCTGTTCCCACCCCACCAGCTCACCTGATGCTCTTTGGAGGGATCCCGATCCTGATCCGCGTGGGGGGTCAGGCTCGCTGGTGCAGCCCTCCACGTCTCTCCCCTCCATCCCTCCTCCCAGAGCTCCTGCCTTGTCTTCACCTCCATTCTCTCCACTGCTGGGACAGCGCACAGGGACTATCAGCCTAGAGACACTCCCCTTGGGTACACTCCAGGGTACAGGGTACAGTATTCCTGCAGGATTTTTTACAGACGTCATTTCTGAGAGCGCCTTGCGCCTCGAACAGAAAGCCTCCGGGTGGGACTGAACGTTTCTCCCGCGGGTGTTTCTGGGAGCGCTCCTCCTCACCCCGCCTATGGCTAATGTCCAGGGTTAGTGCAAACAGGGCGACGGAGATATGGTTGAAAAATCTCTTTTTAACAGTTTGAGTTACGCTAATGCGGCATCTGAGCCGTCATTCACCAAGATGTACACGCGGGGCGGGTGATGTCGGATAAGTGTGATTAACGCGGAAAAGAGGTCCTGTCACCGGGTGTGGGTTTTGAGCCGGAGTGCCTGTGATACTACAAACCTTAACGCACACGGTGTTATTAACGTGTGGGCGTGAGCGATAACCAGCGGTTAACGCCTGTGGAGATTTTTTTTCGAGTGTTTTTCAGATTATCTTTTTAATCTTCTCATAGATCTAAAATGATAGACAATAATAATTATAATAATCAACTACTTGCTGAAAAGGACCTGGTTACATGCACGAATATAAACATAGATAACGCGATTATCACATCGTTCAGGTCACTTTTTTTGGCCACTGAAAAGATCTTGCTTCGCCGTGGCTAAAACGCGCTAGAACACGAAAACAGCGCCGGGTAACCTCTTACCCAGTGCGTGGACAAGAAGAACTTAGTTTCTCAGCATGGTCGTGACAGAGGTACTTCAAATAAATCTGACTGCTCCCAGTACTGTTCTGCGCCTAGCGAGCGCATACAGGAAGAGGCAACTGCAGTACTGCTGACCCCAAAGCCCTACAGCGGGTGGTGAAAACTGCCCAGTCCATCACTGGGGCTCCTCTCCCATCTATACAGGACATTTATGACAGACGGTGCTTGAGGAAAGCTCTAAGCATCATCAAAGACCCCACACACCCCAGCTACAGACTGTTTGACCCTCTGCCATCTGGAAAACGGTACTGGAGCATTCGGGCCCGGACCAACAGACTCAGAGACAGTTTTTACCCCCGCACTATCAAACTGTTAAACTCCCAGCCTCTCTCACTCTCACCTCACCTCTCACCTATGATCTGAACCTCACAGTGCCTTCTTTCTTACCAAAAACTCACACATTGAAATCTACCCCTGCCTCACATGTCAAGAAGTTCACTCCCCATAATTTCTATCCTTTTATTTCATTCTGTTGATGCATGTTTTTGCACATCTGATGTTGTTTTTGCACATTGCCTGTTACCTTTTTGTTGTTTTGCACATTGCCTGTTGTTGTTTTGCACATTGCCTGTTGTTTTTGCACACTGCCTGTTGTCTCTGTCTTTTTTTTATTATACAATTGTATTGTTGTTGTTGTTGTTGTTGTTGTTGTTTTTTTTGTACTACGTATCGTCTGAGAGGTAGCTAAATAGCATTTCGTTATACCATATACCTGTATATGAGTTTAATGACAATAAATTGTAAATTGTTCCATGCAGAAAAGAGAAGCCTTCTTCACCTGAAGAAGGCTCCACAGCCGAAACGTTGTGTTGCTTTTCTTTTCAGCATGGAATAAACCTCTGCCTGTTCCTTTGCATGACAGTATGGGAGCCCTTGTCCAGTTTGTTGGACACTCTTATGAGATTTAGAGAATAAAAATGCCCAAACCAACCTTTCGGTCTGCTGGAATCCATTCTGCCGGAGAAGAGCCCTGTCCGGCTGGATCCTCGTGTCGGTAACAGATTCACCTGTTCTGTGCGCTGCAGGTCCGACCAGTTCTGCAAGGTTCAGTATTTATACACAGAAGGAGGTGTGCAGAGTGGGCGTCTAAACCTGTTTTACAGTCAAGAATGCAGTTGGGCGTGAAGAAGAACAATTTAAATACACCTCTGCAAACCCAGCCATTCGTTTTCGTCAGTTAACCTACCAGCACATATTTTGGACTGTGGGGGCGAAACCCAGGAAAATGGGAGGAGAACATACAAAGTCCACGCAGACAGCTCCCCTGGTCCAGAATTGAACCCAGGGCCCCTGTGCTTTGAAGGCCACCCTGCCCCCCAACACTTCTGTAAATAAATGATCAGTTCCATAATACTGGCTGGATAAGCTTTAGGGACGTTCAGTCTGTACTTTTCCATTTCAGTCTCTGCATAGCTGTTTCATATCAGACAGAGTTAGGTCAGCTGAGTGCCAGCCTCTTTCTTCCTCGCTTGTTTTCCTGCTGGGTTTAAGATCCTTGAATTCCTTTTTGAACCCCACATTCAGTCTCTATTATAAATACAGTTTGTGTAGCATAGAAGATACTTCACCAGTCAACTCTCTGTATAAACTTTCCTAATAATTTAGATGACATCCTTTATATCTTCAGTTTTATTTAAAAGCCTTTCACAAAACAAAAACATTTATTTTCAGTCATGAAATGCTTCCTAGTTGCAGTGGATCAGGGGTGCGACCTTTATAAACCACTTGCATTAACAGATGGGATAGGTCTATATTAGGATGACGCCAGTATCAGATCACGTTCACTGGAAATTTAAATTAGATAATTCTGATTCTCCAGGTTTTAAATCCATTTCACATCTCTTACTGGAACAGTTTCCAGGATATTTTCACACCCTGCAACAGGGACTTTAGTATTAGACTGTTTTCGTTACTCGTCCTGTTCAACAGTTTATAAATTAGATAATGCCGAATTATAATCTATCCTTCTACTCCTAATCTTCCATCTCTCTCATCTGACTCTAGTCTTCTCTGTCCCCCAAACTTGAGACTTTGAGACCCCAACCTTTGAGAATGTGCTTTTAAACTGTATACAAGCGTGGGTGTATAAATTAAGTTAGTTATTATTAGTGAAGTTCTAAAACAATTTAAATTAATAAATTGGGTAATATATAATTTTGGACCCTAAAGGACAAGACTCCTTATTAATTCAAATTAAGATATTCTTTGAATAGTCCGATGACATACAGGTGTTCCTAGACTTTTTTTTTAAAAAAAAAAAAGATTATTCAGGGTGATCCGTACAACTACCTGAAACGAGGGGTCTCTCCAATACCGTTTTTTTTCTAGTTTTTCAGTAGGCGTGTAGTTACAGTCACTCGCTTCCTGTTGACGGAGCGAGAGGGATTTCTGGACGACTGTTAAATACAGGGGTTTCTGTTTGATGTTTCTTGCTAGTTTGTATTTATCCTATTTTTTTTGTCGTATTCATTTGTGCGCAGACTATTTTTATTTTACTTAATCTCCCAGATTTATACCCGATGAATTACCAGACGAAAGCGCCTTTGTTTTCGAGAAGGCCCCGGGACATCCACGGGCTGAAGTAGAGCCCAATTCCCGACAGCAAGGCGCGGGAGAGGCGGCGGTAAGACTCGGGTGAGTCGGGTGCCCGTTTTTCTGATAAAACGTGCAGGTTTTGTTAGGGATTTAAACGAAATAAATGTAAATCGCAAGTGTAAAAATGATAAGAGGATAATATATATATTTAAAGTGGAGCGAAGGGGTGATTTTTGGCCCTTGAGTGTATGGGTACGAAGCTTGAAGTAAATCGGATTATTAGTAATTGTAGTGTTGTCATGGTACAGTTGCAACGTAGGTGCTTTTCAACGTTGCGTAGGAGAAAATGCACTGTGGTGGATGATATTATTGTGCTTATATTTGAAACGCCACAGTGCCGTAATAAGATACGTTATAACGAACTTTCGAGTATTTGTGAAGGAAAGTGCCCCTTTGTGCAGTTTAATTTTCTATGGAGCAGATAGTTTCCTTAATGGGTAGCCTACATTCTAACGCGTAAAGTTTAAACTCCTCTGCAGAGATGTCTAACCTTAGCACCACCCCCCCAATGCTCCAGTCCAGTACGTCACTATTCACTAGTTGAGAAAAGCGATTTCCCTGTGATCGGTTTAGCAGGTCATTTAAGTACTTAAGTGGTCATTTTGGGGAGCGGGATCTGAGTGATATTAAGCCGCCATGGTCTGGATCTCGGTTAAGTAAGCAAATTAGGTGCTTAATTTCTCAAACTAAGTTGCTACAGGGGCCCCAGCCCCAGTCTGTATACTTATGGACAGCCTTTGCATGGGTGGTTTGAAATTTGATATCCGAGAGGAAGATTGAAAAATCTTCCTAGAGGGGCCATAACTGAGTCATGTTTTTCTGGACTGATTTCCTTTTATTTGGAAAAGGCTGAAAATAAACCGACACAGAGACAGACAGACTGATCTCCAGTAGCAGTGAGATGGAATGTGTTGTGTACATTGGTATGTGACGGGGGGGACCATTTTGAGTTACCTGTGCCAATGAGGGTTGAAAAGAGTTTAAAGGATACAGGATGAAGAGGGGCTCTAGAAGCAGAATGTGAATCCCCCTTCTTAATGAAGAGCCCCCCTGTGAAGGACATGCCATATGTCTGCTGCCTTCATGGAAGAGTGGTGAAGATGCTATTTAAAACCCATAACCGGATCCTGGGGTGTAAGCTCAGGTGTGCCCACCCACTCTCTCCCTCTCTTCATTTCAAGGGCGCACAGAGCACGAGCTCCCCTCACCCCTGGTGCCAGCATGGTGTGCGAACTCTTCCTGTTATCGTCCGTCTGGTTCCTCTTCGTGATCTTCTGGATGGAGACCATCAGCGTCTGGCTGTTCCTCTGCAATTTTTACCAGGATAGGGCCTTCTATCACGTGGGTGTGGGGTGAGTGGGCAGGGCTTTGCGTTAATGATCCACCGCTGTCCAAAACGAGAGCTCCTGGTGGTTTCAGAAGCTCTTCGTTCTGTCTTCAGGCTTGCACGTTCAGTATTTGTTTCTACAAAATCTAGAAAGATCCCTTTCTCAATGCGATTCAAAGCAGTATGAGTTTTCGGCAGTAATATAAAAAATGTAATTGATACTTCAGTCGGAGACATTCCTGTAGTTCTCAGGCTATGAAAGTTATCTAAAAATCATTAAAGGGCTGGAGTTTTCTTGTGCTGTTTTGATCACAGCAGAATGTGTACCAATGTCAGAAGCTCGCTGTGAGACATATAGGCTTGCCTATTGCTCCAGCTTCATAAGTGATGTGGCCTTAATCTTTTGTGCATAGCACACAGCCACAGGGCTTGTGAGGTGTGTTTGTCGGGTTGGTTGTGTAGTCCTAATGTCTGTCTCTGTGCTCTTCCTGCAGGGTGTTTGCAGATGACCCCGGGCACATGCTGTACGTGCTGGGCAGGTGAGGGAGTGTCTTGGGCACCGTGCCTTCCGCTGGTCGTGAAGTTGAACAACGGGGTGATCAGTACAGGATCTGTCCTGGTGAATTCAGACTGCAGACTTGTTATGCAGGGGAGATAACAAACTTATGTGTTTTTTTTTTTAAAGACAAAACTAAGAATAAACAGCAAAATATGAACCAGAGGGCACAAGTGGAAACTGTCCAAGTGCATTTTAAAACTAGGACTAGGAGGCACTTCTGTACACAGAGATTTGTGGGGGTATGCAGCTACCAACCCAACTGGTTGAAGCCGATACCCTGGCAGCTGAATGAGACCCTGGGATCGATTAGCTACTGACTACCAAACGGGTTAGATGGGCTGAATGGCCTCTCATTTGTAAACTTTGTGCTCTTAAGAGCCGAATGGGTTGCCAACAAGAACACAGCAGAACAATAATAATAACAAGGATGAGGCCTCAGTTCCAGCTGTGTACTGGTTTGTGGGAGATTAGCCCTCCCTTGCATCTCTTGTGGTGTTACGCAGGTAACAAGATGAGAACGCCCTTTTCTGTTTGCGCCCTGCTTCAGGAGCCCCGATTTCCATCTGTTTTCTGTTTCCTACTAGGGTGGAGGGATCGGGACAAACGCCAACATGAAGAGAAGGAGAGAAAGGAGGACGAGGGAGCGCGCGTCTGCTTTGTACATAAACCGAACCCCTCCTGCTGCCTGCATCACACCGCCCAGCCTGCCCCGTGACTGGGGGCTTCACCCTTGTCGAAGGAGTTGGGAGATGCTGTTATAGAGGGGCGAATTTGATGGAAATTGTCAACTAGTTGGGGATGTTGTGTGAGCCATAGCATCAGCAGTATCCATGTCTGGCCATCTCTCTCTCTGTTCCACCACTGGTCTTGCAGGTGTTGTTCCAGCTGTTCGGTTTTGCCCTTTGGTGGGGAGGGGTGGGTGCCCTTAACAACCCTTCTTGTCTTTTGTGTTTGGATGAGATGCATGCAAGATCGATTCATCTCTGGTTTGGCAAGCTGTTGGCTCCACCGGTACTTCTTAGGCACGTTACTGACTTTTTTAATGAACTTGATTGAAAAATATGAAATGAACTTGTGCCTCAGTAGGACAATGTGGTGAAGAACCTGCAGCCTGTTTCATCCTAAATGAATTGTTCTGCTTGCCGAGAGTCTGGTTTTCCTGACATTTATAGTTAATGCACATCTTGCATCTCTCCTACAAATGTTTTCAGTCAAAACTTTCCTGCCACAATCCTTTAAACACGTGGGAGAATTTGTTTATGCCTTGAAAGCTTTCCCGTGTTGTTTGGCAGTAGATGAAGATAAACCGAACAGTGCAAAAAAATATATATACTTTAAGTTTTCTTAGAATCTAGTCTTTATTCTCCATGTCAAAGGGTTTAGACTGATGCTCCAACGTTGATTTGAGTTATGAGACCAGAACAGTGTTGTTACTGAGCCTGTTTTCATAGGGCTCCCTGACCCGAGGAAGTGGGGCTTCATTCATTAATAGGCATCTCTTAAAGGGTCTTCTTTCTCCCTGTGTTTTTATGTGGGATCTGTGCTTTTTGACTAAAAATCGAAATGGCCGAGCTCCTGACCTTATCCATATTGTAAAACTGATGTATTTGGAAGAGGAGCATTTTGGACAATTTACAGTTACGGTTTTCCCATAAACATTTTAGATGAGAAATTTAAGACCCAGATTGGTATCCTTAAGATGGTGAGACGTATGTACCAGGGGTCTCCAACTCTGGGCTTGGAAAGCCCTGGCTCACAGATTTTATATGGAACCTCTAAGGTGTCTATTTCTGATGATTTGGGACACTTTTAACTGTGATCATTAAAAGGATGCTTTGTTAGATTACCTAATTTGGAGGTAGTTTTGGGACAATTTGCAACACCCTGTGAAATTAGAGTTCAAAAACTGGTGGCCTATAATGTTTGATTGGGGATCCAGACCAAGAGCTGGAAACATGCTATACAGTGTGTCTCTCCATAAACATCTGTCTTCTCTGTGATGCCTTCCTCATGTCTTTTTGCTTTGAACTGCTTTGTATCACTATTAAATTGTTTAACTGCATAACTTGCTCTCCGTCAAGTCAGAAGGTGGAGTACCGAAGTTGGAGCGCTCTAGTTAGGAGGATTGACGTATTCCAGTTGTTTTCTGATTTTTTTTTTCTTTATACTCGAGCAACATTTTGACTCATTCGCGGTGACTGACGGCTTGTGTGCAGGCGCTGACACGTCCACCCCAGTCCTTGGGTAAGCAGCAGCGGCCTCTGAGACGCACGCTGAGCTCTGACAGAGAAGCTGTGCTGGTTGCTTTGCAGAGAGTGGAGCTCCTCGATCTTGGCAGGGGTGCACATTGAGCCTGGAAGTGGGTTTTTCCTTTTTGAAGTGTGGATGAAGTACGGGTGAACGTGCTCTTTTACAGTGAATTTGAAGTAGGTGTTTAGAATTTTGGAATGCCATTTTTTTTTGTTCCCGTCACATCTATGTTTCCATCTCATTGAAGATAAAAAGACTTGGCGGTTGTGAATAAAGGTGGAGGGATTTTTGTCATGGTTGGTGCTGCTGTATGTGAGGTGGTCAGGCAGGGTCTTGCTGTGGCAACACATACGGCGTCAGGTTTTGCTTCCTTCTGGGATTGCTGGACAGATTCCAGTGTGTCTCTGCAGGTTTTCACCTCTGCTTGTAATAACCCAGCCGAGCTGGTCGTTGGCAAAACTGGACCAGTTGAACGCTTTTCAAAGGTTTTGCAGCAGTTGATGATTTAAAGAGACCTAGAAAACCATTGGATGCTAGCTGTCACGGACTGGAGTTGTGCTCCAAAGGAATAGAACAGGGTAGTCTGCTCCTGGACCCGGCTACTGTCATTCCCATGTTTTCAATCTAGTTTTCAGTCTTCTGCTGGCTACTGGCTCATTTGGTCCAATTCCCCAGCATCTCTCTGCTTTTCAGGTGCTGCTAGTGTGAACAAAATCTGCAGATAGAGCGCCCCCTATAGGACCAAGGCTGGCCAGGCCTGCCCTAGTGCAACCAAATGAGATGTCCTACTTGGCCACCAGGTGGAGACAAGGCAGTAGACTGGAGAACTCAATGGCGTGCTTGAAAAGTAATCTGTTTCAAGGGCTTTGTGATAAAGTGCTATATGAATGCAAGGAATTATAAGGTTGTTTGCTCTAAATTGTTTTGAGGCTTTAAACTTGATGAGCTGTATAGTTACAGTTCATTTCGCTAAAATGCGTGGGACTGTGTAGTTATAAATATTTTTTTAGTACGGACAGATTCCTGAAGGTATCATGTAAAATAAAGACTGCAGAATTAAATTTTAAATGCAACTTGGGTATAATCAAAAAAATAAGACCAAGTTGAAGTATTACATTACCTTGCCAATTTTAACTAGTACTTTTGCAAGTTCATGATCGAACACTAGAGGGCAGAGCAGATCTCAAGACCTGGGTTAGGGACAGTCACTGGTGCTTATTTTATGTTCTTGGGTAACTGAATGTTTTGTTACTTAATCCGTTTCAATTCCACTTTTAAATGTTATGGATGATTTAATGAAACGACAGAGGTTGCAAAACAACCCATGTGCCCTGTAATCTTATTTTTGACTGTTCTGTATTTACTATTGTTTCAACTGGTGAGCATTTTACCCTCTTCAAAAATAAAGTATAGTTGTACTGTAAAATGAATTGATTGTGTACAACATCAATATGAATTATTAATATTGCAGGTTGTCAGGGTGCTGAACTGGAATAGCAGGCTTTTGGACTGTAGACCAATTTGTTACTGAATACTCCAAGGAATTATTCAAATTCAATTGAAATGCTTTATTTTGTATAGTACAATTTTTCCTGTTGGTGACCTAACAATTCTTTTTAATAATTTGGCTAAATCTTTAAAAGCAAATACTGCATTAAGTGGACTTTTGGTAGTACAGTATTTTGCCCTGTATGATTTAAGTATTTTAACTGTTATAGTTCAGGTGGGCAGGTGCGTTGGGACGGGTTGTTCGGCGGGGGACCAGGGATTGGTTTTTTTCGTTGTTGAAAGGGGAGGGAGGAAACGGCACTTTTTCGGTTTTGGGGCTTTTTCCCCCCCTTGAAAAGGGTTCCCCGCTTGAACGTTTTTTTTTTTTTTCTTTTTTGGGTGTGGTATGCGTCTTTTTTTTTTTTTTTTGTATGTTATTCTTATGAAGTGGAAATATCTTAATTCCACATAGAGGAAAGGCTTAGGCTTAACAGTTAAGCAGAGCTCAGTATAGACAAATGTTGAACTGTTGTAATTGTGTATCTTTTATCAAGAGAACAACTCCAGTGGCTTTGCTCAAATTCCCAAATGTATGATTTTCATTTTAATTTCTCAGAACGGTTACTGTACCTGCTTTTGTGAGGTGAAGAATAGCAAGCCAATCTGTTTTAACATTGTTCGTATTTCTGTGTGCAGGTTTGCTGTGGTAGAGCATGTTTTTTTTTTTTGTTGTAAAGGCTGCAGCTTGATCTGAGAGTACTCTCTCAGGCATGGTTGCTCACAAGCTGTGTGAGGGATCTTATCAGCTCAGAGAGCAAGACTAGACATTTGGAGCACAGAAAGCACTATGAATTTAAAATGTTTTTTTTTTTTTTACTTCTCCTGCACACTGACCTATGGATCCCATCCTCAACACCTGAAGCTTCTGGTAGGAACAAACAGCAGGTTTTCTAGGCTGCCAATTAACGGGTATTTCCAGGTTGTCTGACTGTGTAAGACGGGACAGTCAGACTCTCATTAAGGCTAAAGTGCTACAGCACAGACTGTAACATGAACTAAATACCACCACCCTAAAACTGAGATATTTTATCCGTTTGTTTAAAAAAAGATATTCATCGTTTAACAAGCCCAGCCAAGTAAAAAAAAAACCTTCGCTTTATGAAGTTTAAAAAGCCCAGCCAAGTGCAAAACGAAACCTTCTTTTGGTTTGCATGTGTTAGTCTGCTGAATACCACAACCCCACTTGTACACACAGATATATACACCATGCAGGACTGCTGAGATATGATGCAAAGTCAGCAGTTTGTACTGTAACCTCTGTGAAAGAGTTGTGATTCCAGGCATACCGATGTCTGCGCTGGCAGTTTGGTCAGTCTCCAGTCACGTTCATCCAAGGACTCAGGAAAGACGCAGACCCAGACTGCACTGAAATAGATCAGCCATATGAAAAGAAAAAGGGGAGCAAGTGCTTTCGGGGCGTGGGCCTAGCCCACATGCTCGGACCCAAGGGAGTGCTGGAAGCCATCTGTTGCTCGGAGAATGAGCCTGCTCTCGAGTTGAAGTGGGAGAAGAGAAATGGAGACAGTGAGAGGCTGGGGGTTAAGGTAGCAGGAGTGTGGCAGGGAGATACGATGGAGGTGAGGGGTATTATCCTGAAGGGACAGTGTAACCAGGGGTAAAGCCAGGTTTGTAAGAGCCCAGAAGTGGGAAGCTCACCTAAAAATCCATTTCTAAGGTCTGAAGTTGAGCTCCAAACAGTATGACAAATAAACTAGTTCTAATGTAAATAGAAAATTAAAAGAAAAGGGCTGTTAATTATACAGTCAGTGAAGTTGCAGCAACTTTTATCCTATAGAGGGTTGGTGGACATGGGGTACAGAATGGGATTCCAGTCCACCACAGGGCACGCTCACAGTTCAGAAACCTCCATTGACCAGAGCACCCAGAGGGAGAATTCACATGAACATGGGCACAACAGACTGCCTGCCTGCAGAAGCCAGTCCTGTCAAGGAGAGCCGCGCGGTGGCAGTGATCAATTGGCGTAGGACCTTGCTCAAGGGTACAACCACAGTACCTCCACTGGGAGATCGGGATTGATGTTTCCGGGGGCGAGTTCAGATCCAAGGCCAGAACAACGGCGCGGTGGTCAGTCCCAGACATGACAGACATCTCTCCCTGCCTGTGTCTCCATGGAGAAAAGCTGGGGTATGCGGAAAAGACGAATTCCTAATGCAAGAAATTGTATAGGGCTAATAAAGAAACATTATTCTTATTATTATTATTATCATTACATTATTATCATTATCATTATTAATTACATTATTATCATTATTATTAATGGGCTTATGGGAGAATTGGCCCTAGAGGTGAGCGTGTGTGCCCTGTGATGGACTGGCGTCCCTTCCGGGGTGTACCCTGCCTTGGGCCTGTTGCCTCCTAGTATAGGTCCTGGCTCCCCCCCCCCGTGGACCTGAACTGGAAGAAATGGTTAGAAAAAGGATGGGTGGAGTTCAGCTCCCCGAGCCACTGTACCACACTACCACCTCATTGCTGTGATCATCCCGAAACTGTGTATCGACACACTATCCTCTTTGTACCGGTCCTCCCCTGGACCCTGGTGGTGGTGGTAAGGCCTGGCTGTCAGCCTCCCCTCCGCCCCGCGATCTGACGGCATCTTAGCCACAGGGTCTTCTTGCTTTGACTCAGTGAAGAGCTCTCGCATACATCACCAGATGAGTCACTGGCTTATTTAATCAGTGCAGGTGAGGGCGGCTGTTGGCTGCTGACCCAAGACACCTAAGACTGGTGCTGTCCGGGACTGTGATCCACTGCTACAGTGATCAGAACTGTCCTCGGTTGTCCTTTGTTTCAGCACCTTTCAGGTATTGATTGAGATATTTCAGCCACTGAGTTTAGCAAATTAATTTAGAGAAGCAGTTTGCACTGCCTGAGGCATCCTGTATATGCAGTGTAATTTCATCAGCTGCAGTTAAGCGAACACTGTCGTTTTATTGTGTCTGATGAGTGTAGGGCTTGTCACAGGCGCTGTCAGGCACGCTGCTCTGACTCAGGAGCAAAGACGGCAGCAGCTGCCCAATTTTCACATCTCGCTGGCTCTGAAAAGGTTCATATGGCGCGAACAGAGAGTTGTCTGCTACACTGAGCAGCGCGGCTCGCCCCTCCTGCTCGGCACAAACTTCACCACCCAAGGCAGAGCTGGGCTGCCTCGCCGACGCCCAGTTGCTCAGTTTATATAACGAACTGAAACAGTTTTAAATAAACCCAGCAAGCTCACATGACCCCTGACTAAATATCGCACAAGACACACCATCTCTCAGGTTAGGCGTAACCTCTGGTTTGTGAAAACCTTCCTGTAACAGATGTTAGCCAGACTCTCAGCAGGGACGTGTCTCCCAAATTAAAGCTCTTCTACCTTCATCTATGCCTTTTCAGAATCTCTCCACCTTCCAGAGTCTCAGACCCCTATATATCAGGTCTAGGCTCTTCCTTTTTGAAACTCATAAGGTGATATTTCTCTTGATTTGTCCACCAAGAGGTCAAGCCAAACACTGTGCTCTTTGTTCTAAAAGGTAAATGTTTTGTTATTGTTTTCATATTTTTATTTTTAACAGATATTGCTTGTGTTCCTCTCACTCAGTTTGTCCCTCTGTCGGGTGAAGTTTGCAAGTTTTTCTAGACTCCAGAAGAAGTGGACCCTGTCAGTTTTAAATGCACCTCGTCTTTAAGACCCAGGGGCTCCCCTGGCACAGCAGGGCCCTTGCTAGATCAGTCTGAGCTGACTGCCTGACCCATGAGCACAACAGCAGCCTTGCTCATGGGAGTTGAACCCACAACCATCTGATCTAAAGCCGTGTAGTCTTGTATGTGAATGTATTGATCTCAAGAACCATGATGACCTAGTCCCCCCATTTTCTGACCACTTCATCCAGTAGAGTGTCACGTAGAGTGAGTCTGATCTACCTGTGACTGGTCTGTCTGATCTATCTCTGACTCTGATCTGTCTGTGACTGGTCTCTCTGATTTATCTCTGACTAATCTGTCTCTGTGTCTGTGTCTCTGGTCTGTTGGACTGTGACTCTGGTCTGTCTATCTGTGTCTCTGGTCTGATTGTTTGTGAGTCTGATCTACCTGTGACTGGTCTGTCTGATCTATCTCTTACTCTGGTCTGTCTCTGTGTCTGTGTCTCTGTGTCTGTCTCTGTGTCTGTGTCTCTGTGTCTGTTGGACTGTGAATCTGATCTGTCTCTGTGTCTCTGGTCTGCCCCTGTGTGTTCATTCTTCTGCCTTCCAGAGCTGCGATCTACGAGCTACAGAATTACGATCATTGTAGGGAGATTGATTGACACTAATGCTGCTGAATAAAGAACACAGCTGCACTTAGTAAAACAGTCGTGTGGGGCAGCCATTTATCCAGTGCCAGGATCCAGACTGGCTCCTCCACTTCACTGCAGTATTGATCTCTCACTTTGTGCTGTCTCGAAGGGTGAAAGCATAAGACCACTACACACATGGGTGTTTAGGGGAGAGAAGTAGATTATTATTAGAAATGGAATAGAGAAGTAGACAAACTCACCTTTCTGACTCTCAACAAGCCCTTTGAGAGTCTTGCTCAGAGGCCCCACTCTCTCTGGTGTGCTGAAAGTGCAAGAGCTGGGACTGATGCTGATTTGGGGTGCAGTCACCCCTGTGTGTAAGGTATCAGGACAGCACCACGCTGCAGAGTCCCCCCGCCTCCCCGACCAAGAGCGCCTTCACAGACTTACACCCCCAGAGAGTGTCTGAGACTGGGGCTTCCCAGATCATCTGGGGGCAATTTCACCCCCAACAGCACCTCAGCACAGCAGATGAGGCGGAGGAGAGAGAAAAACTGCTGAGGGGACATTAGGAGGAACTGCAGGGAGGCCAGGCCAGGGTGGAGAGCAGCCCTGCGGACAGTGTCCTCTCTCTACTGACCGATCAGGCAGGACCTCAGGTGGACACGAGCACCTCTTCCCAAACAGTCCCCAGCTTTCATACTGGGGCACTGCCTTGGAGACACCTGTCCAGAGGGAATATCGCCACCTACTGGTCCACCAACACCACTGACAGCAGCAGCCTGGCTTCCCTTAGATGTCTCCCACCCCAATACTGGCCAGGCCAGTCTTTGCTCAGCTTTTGAGATCTGATGAGACCAGGCTACAAGGTGATGAAGCTGCTGGTATTCAAACCTTCTGCTGACTTTGCGACCGATCCCACTTCGCCGTCTGAAACCCCAGAAGCCTTTTTTAGGGCGCAAAAACATACCCAACACATAACACCGTTTAGCGGGGTCGGAGGATTTACTAATCCGTCCCAGTGCGGGCGACAGTGGGGCAGCGTGGGAAACAGAGCGCTGTCGCCGTTTTAAGAGCGACTCCGACGGCCGTTTCCCTTTTAAGCGCTTCAGCCCCCGGGAGGAAGGTGCGTCGACAAGGAGGAGGAGCAGACGTTCATATACATGTATACGTTTTACAGCGTGGAAGGCTGTAATGAAAGTATCGTTACCAGCAGCTGGAGGCTGGCGGGCTGCCGGGTTTAGGGAACAGGGGGAGCGCGGAGAGGAACTGAGACAGACTCCGCCAGAGAAAGAGGTGATCGGACCGTTCTAATAAGAACAATACTGATACTGATACTACTACTCATAATAGAAGAAAAAGACAGGAGGAAAAAAGGGGATCTCTGCCGCGTCAAGCTCTTCGGGCGGATATCGGAGAGGCTGTCGAGCAGAAGCGCCGCGGATCCTGATTGGAGTTGAGCGGCTGCGCCGCGTTCGCTCCCAAACCAGGAAATCGGCGAGGTGTGCAGCTCGCCCGCTCTTCCTGCGGCGTGCCGTCCGCCCCGAGCGGATATATCGATGTGCACACAGACGTGTGTCTTGATGGGGTGTTCTTCGGCTTCGTTTTTTTAACCCTGCGACCGTAGATTTGGATACCAAAGAGAGAGAGAGAGAGAGTGAGTGAGAGAGAGGGAGGAAACCTCAGCAGACCGACGCGCAAAAATGAGGTAAGTATGGAGATTCTCCGGCGTTAATGCCGCTGTATTGTGTGGAGTTACGCTGCTGTGGGAATCTCTCCCCCCCCCCCGGTGTGATCGCAGCGGCCGCCAGTTATTGCTACTGTAACGCGGCGGAACTGTTACTGTAACGCCGCGGAGTCGTCGCCCCGCTCCGGCGCGGTGACCGCCGCGGTCCAGACGGCAACCTGAGCCGAACTTTCCTCCTCTCCCCTCACCATTAGGTCTGCCGTCGCGAACGCGTTTCGTAATCGCGGCGAAGTATCCTGCAGTCTTGGGAAGATCCAGTACGGCACTGTTACAAAGTCGTTTCCCAGGCGGGGTGAACGCCAGTACCGCTCCCGGTGACATTTCCACCGGCGGTGAGGGCGCCCGTGGGACCGCGGGGGGTGGAATTTAAGCCCTGCGGTGTGTCAGTGTAGCGGTCAGTCCCGGAGTGGGCGACCCCTGTCGTTGATTTTTATGTATTGTTTTTTTTTGTTGTTGTTAAAGAAACGCCTCGGTAATGCGCGGTGTGGAACAGGAATGTGAACGCGGCAGCAGTGCGCTACCTGTGTGGACGCGGCAGGGCCGTGTCCGTGTCCGTGTGCTCAGCCTCAGGGAGGCGGCTGGGGCTGTACACGGAACCGCACTCGCGGAGCAGCCGGGGGGCTGGTGACCCCAAAAGGCACAGGGGCACCCCCGCGTCCTGGCGCTGTGTCTCTGGGGTCCCCACCTGCGGTTACGCGCCTGGCAGCCGTGAACCGTCCTCAGGTTCGCTTTTTCCAGCTGTTCCGCGGTCCTGGCGCACACCGACTCTTTCTTCCAGCTGATCTTCATGTAGGTAAACATTGTTCTGAGCTCCAGGGCCCGGATATCCAACACTTGCCTTCTTCTCGTTAGCCTTTCGGGTCGTGCCGAGACGTGATTTCCGCTGGCCCATTGTGAAAAGTCATGTACTCTAAGCTGGAGGAGGAGGAGGAGGGGAGGGGGAGTTTTGACGCCGCGTGGTTTTAGAAATCGCAAGAGGATGAAGATCGTTTCGAATGAACAGGATATTTGCAGGTAACAGAAACTTGCGGTTTTCTGTTACCAAATCCTGTTCCCCTGCAAAAAAAAAAAAGTGTCTATGCGGACGTGATCTGATCGATTTTTTTAACCTTTAAAAATCCGTTTTTTTTTTAGATGAGCGTTTGGTGAGGAATATTCCGTCTTGTGTTTTGCGCTTTCGAAACTGTTTGAGAACATGTATGAGCTGTCTATTTTGAATTTTCACAGCTGGTTGCGCCTTTGTAACTCTTAGGAAGGGGGCAATGTCTGCTCTGTAGGTATAAAGTTCGTTACGACACGATAAGTCACCGACGTGTCGGTTTTCTTCACAGGAGCACTCATGACAGACAGTGCCTCTGGTTTAATCAGCCCAGAGCGGTGATAAACTGTGATTCAGGTCTGGTTTGAATACAGTCTTGCCCTGACTCACCCATATCCCTCTGTCTGGGGCAAAATCAGAACATCAAACGTTTTTTTTAAAACGGTTTAAATTCTTCCCACCCCGCCAGTACAGTGACAGGGGATCTAGCGCACTGTGGCCTTCAGGAGCTGAGACAGTACTGACGGACTGATGTCCGGATGCCGCCTGTAGACCAATTTTACAGGTCGACTTCCTCGGTTTCTTTGTGACTTAACAACATTGACTTTTTAAAAAACGGTTTCTGATTTTCCACGGGCGGTTTAAACTACTTCATTACCTTCAGCTTTTGCCATCGAGCATTGGTGATGAAATCGACCAGATTCTCTCTTTGGGCAAAGGCTATGAATTGCCCCTTGTGTGATTATAAGCTGGAGGAATAAGGTTTGTTGTTAATGCCACCGTCTTGTTGAGCCGTTTCATTCGAAGAGGGCAGGCAATGGAACGCTTTTGCAAAGAGATGTAGGATAGAACAAACTGGAGCAGGAAGGGCCGTGTTCATTGGGTAGCCAGATGACCTTTGGCCTCTGCGAACGTTATCTTTCACCTCGCCACCCGGTCAGATCCTCCGTCTCCCCAGAGCAAGTACTACAGGGGGTGGTACCGAGCACCCTTAAACTCGAGGTGTATTAAGGAGGAAAGCTAAGGGGCTGTTTCTCTTGGGGTGGTTTGTTCAGCTGGTCAGCGAACTGATCACAGGCAGTTAAAAACTGTGCCTGTGAGTTGGTGCAGGATGACCCCAGGCCTGGTCTGTGGGTTTCTCCTCTAGTGCCGAGACCAGGCAAGACGCGCTGTTGGCATTGCCGAATACAGAGAGATTTCTAGCTGCACCAAAGCCAATTAATATTTCTAAAATAAGTCATTGCATAGGCATTAATGCACAGCTGTAACAGCTGCAGTCATTTGCTTTGTAATTAGCTCTGTGGGGTTTTCTTCTTCCTCCCCCTGCACTTGTCCCTTGTTCAGTGAGGGGAGGTTGATTCTCAGGGCGATTAACAAGAAACTGGCCCCAGCAAAGAGGCAGTTTTCCCCACTGGTGTTGCTCATGGCCGTCTGAAACCTGCTGCTTGGCCACAGACCCTGAGCTGGTCTTCATGGGCTTTATCCCACACGACAGTCTGTTGTGTTTTTGTTTTTTTTGCTCTGATCTTTATTATTAATTTGGCTGATGTCCTTAATCAAAGCAACTTGCATTCCAGCCACTGGGTGACTGGAACAAGCGTGGTGCGCCTTGCTCAAGGGGACACCAGCTGTGCCACACCTGGGATTTGAACCCACAGCCTTCCATCTGCAAGATCAGAGCCCCTAACCACTACACCACATGGCTGGTTTTCTTAGACTTTGCATCACAGCGCATTCAAGGCCCATCGTTTGTTGCTCACAGAGCATGGCTCCCCCTCCCAGCCCCGCCATGTTGAGCGTGGAGTTCCCATTGGGCCCTGTGAGTTTCTGCTCCAGTGAGGCAGATGGGACTCCGGTGCCCCTCGGCCCGGCCTGCGGCAGGGGTGTCGGCCCACGCGGGCAGGAGTGTGGGCGGCTGCTGGCCTCTGAGGCTTCGGGCTGGGCAGGCTGGAAGCCCTGTGGCTTGGGTGCCGGCGAAGTGGAAGGAAAAAAAACGCGGGAGAGCGAGAGAGCGAGGCTGGTGAAAGTGTGGGACGGAGGGGCAGAAGATTACATTTGCGGCCGAGGGAAAGCAGTTTGTTTAGAGAAGAGGAGGGGGACCAGGGCCAAGCCCAGCCTAATGGAAGAGCTGAAAGTCTCCAGAGGGATTAGCGCAGCGTGTCTGTTTCCAGCAGGAGAGAGACGGAGCTGCCTTCCTGTTTCAAGGGGCTTTCAGCAGAGGCCGCAGGGAGACGTGTGTCAGACTGTGGCCTTAGCTGCCTGGCACAACTGTGGGCAACAGCAGCAACTGGCCGGTCCAGAGCCTGCCTGCTGTCTCCTGGAAGTGACCGCTCCTCTGCTTGGAGCTCTCGTAGCCTTGTGTCCACGTTTCGACCCCCTGGGGTCGATCGCAGTACCTGGAGCGCGTGTGCGTGTGCTCGGATGGATTTGTTTTTCTATTTTCTGACCCATCTGGGGTGTCTGTGCTTTGCTCGCTCTCTCCGTCTCCCAGCAGCCCCCCTCCTCTGTCACAACGGGTTGAAAGTGTCAAGCGCGTGCCCAGGTGTTTGGGGGCTGCTGGGGAGGTGCTGGTGCTGTGCAGCAGTCTCAGTCCTGTATGCGCATTTGCATGTTTATAAATCATTCAAGCTCCTGCGTCGTTGCTTGAAGTTTTGTAGAGGGGACCCAGGTGAGCCGATTCTCTGCCTTCGCTTCATCCTCTACCTGCACAAGGAGCTCACCGGTGTAATTCAGGTTCTAGGCAAACCCAAAGAAAAGTGTGGGTGAAGGCGATGGGGAGCTCCTTGTCATGCTGGTGCTGCCTAGAGCTCACATTCGACCACACAGGAGAAGACGGGAGCGCCCATCCTGTTTCTAGCTGCAAACCAGACCCCTCGCTCTGTAGGTGAAGCCCATCGGCTTCAAACGTGTCGGGGGGTTTTATTAGGAAAACAGGAGTGTCTCCCCCGATCGATAAGCTCCCGCCAGTGGAATGTGCTGTTCTGGATTTGTTGGTTGCTGCTCTGTGGCTCTCCGAGGAACAGGTTAGACCAGCGGTGTGGAGCTCCCCCCCGCCCTCTCTTCCGGAGAGCTGCAGAATTGAGTTTCTTTCTAATGGATGCCCTCGGTTAACTTCATTGATCTTGCAACTGCCTCGGCCGGACATCTTTAATTCTGTGTCTTGGAGGTATTTGAAACCTGATGCCTTAAAAGATGGAGTCCGAGGTACAATAGCAATGCTGAGGTTTTTTTTTTCCTCTGTGTTGGGTAGTGGTGGTGTATTTTGCTGTTTGATCAGTTGGAGCAGGGCTGGAAAACCATCCCGGAGCTCGTGCGTGCCAGTGTGTTGCTCTGGAGAATTCCACGGCACTCCGACAGCTTCCTCCTCAGGCAGGAGAAACAAGTTGGAGCAGAGCTCAGCTGAGCAGGCGTGAAGGGCCGCGATCAATCCTGCTGTTCCAGCAAAACTAGAAAAAAACGCATAGCTGGAAAGATTCTACAAAAGAGCTCGCGAGGAAAAGAGGAAGTTTGGGGTGGGGGGGAAACATTTGGGCGCTGCGCAGGGTTCAGAGCACCGCTTTCACTTAGTGCTGTGCAACCGCCTTTCTCTCCTTGCCCTCCCCCCTCTTCCCCCAGCTGGACTATCCCTTGTGATCCTCGTACAACCAGAAGACGGGCCACCATTCTGAGCAAAAGACCCCTGATGTACCGCGAAGAAACACAAACTGTGCCTTTACAAATGTGCTGTTTGTATTGCCTGTAACTTGTGAACAGCTGAAGAGTTAGTCTTTATTTCCATAACCAGATAGTGTGGTCAGTGCTTTCTTCCTGTTTACCAACACTAATGTGCAATCTTGCACTTTCAGGCTGATTTGTGCTTTTCGATGGTGTTCTGAAGAGTTCAGATATACTGCCAGCTCCTGGAGCCCAGTATCTCACACTG